CGTGCTTACATGCTCCTCACGTGACACCACAATCTTTTGATTGGGTTCTTTTGGAACAGGATTTTGGCTTTAAAATTTGAAAGCAATGGACCTTTACCCGCAGGAGGCTGGCCCAACTTCAAATTTGAATTTTCTGAAATTTCACGTGTTTGCAATGACAACACATGGTTCAGAATTGCCACCTGCAAGGTTTTCTCCATTACCCATCGTGTAATGACTCAAAGGCTGACAGTTTTGACTTTTGTCTTCTTCGACGTTGATTCTTGTCGGTGACTATGTCCAGAGTTGCATAAAGGAGATAATTCTGACACTGACAATGGTACCTCCTTAGGTGTTTTAGACTCATCACTTCGGACTCTGATGGCTACAGAGTTTTATCTCCTCTTCCGTCTCGACCCAGCCTCCAATGGAGTCTCCAATGACCTTGTTCGACTTGCAAATTCGAACAAAAATATTTCGTCTCCCATCTCATAAATGTTAAGCCCATGTGTTATCTTCCAAATCCTATTCAACCATCTCCTAACATCACATAGCGTGGCCATTTGGTTAGTCATATTCTCGAATTTCCCCACCAAACTTTTCTTTAGGACTTCACCAAAGGTGTTAGATTTCTCATCAATGTAGATAGGGGCCCCCTTCATTAAAGATGCCACCACATTATCCTCAGCTTCTTTATTGCTAGCCCATTTACTACTTCTGAGAGACTCTGCATATGGAATGTTGTTATCAATCAATCTGTGCAAATTTCTGTTTTCTTCAACCCTCCTTACAACAATGCATCTTCCCACTTTATCTACAATAGCCTCCCAACCTAAGTTGAACATTAGCTCTGGGATAATAATGACAGACCTTCTTCTTCCTCTCACAAGTTAATATACCTACCAAATTTGTTGTAATTTCTGGCACAAAAAATTTTGCCCTATCCTTTGATTTCCTCCATCTCTAACCACATTCCCTTTTGTTTTCGAAGCTTCCCGCAAAACTTGAGAGACCCAGATCATAGATTGTCTACTGAAAGAAGTTCAGATGATTGTTTTTCTGCTTCTTTCAGTCCATTCATACCTTTCTCTTGTTGTCCCCTTTAGTCGTGTGATGTCAAAAGATTTAAAACCAACGCAAAATAAATACAATCTTCCATTGATGAAGAAGGTTTGTGTTATTTTAAAAAAAAAAAAAAAAAGAGAGTTTTCAACAATTGGAAGGATCACCGGAGGGTTGGTCAGGGTGGATCACCCTCTTAGAAAGTAGGAGAGAGAAGAAACTCGATAACTGTGCCAAGGAGCATTTTATAATACGAATGCAACAAAAGTCAGTATTGTAATTGTCTTATACTTGTGGGAATGACATCCACTTGTATTTGTCCAGTTCAAAATTTAAGAGAACTTATTACTTCGTTCCTAGTTTATTCTTACTATTAAGGGATAAGGGTCTGAAAAATACCCCAACTTTGGCCGAAATTATTGTTACGATACCAAACTTTATGGAGGACCTATTACCCCTGAACTATTTAATAGTGTATTTTTTACCCCCTGACTATTTTAAAGGTATATATGTGTCCACGTGGACACATTACTATTTATAATTTTGCATTATTTTTTATGTCCACGTGGGCAAATATATATGTTTAAAATACGGTATTAAATAGTCTGGGAGGTAATAGGTCCTCATCAAAGTTTGGTATCGTAACAGCAATTTCGGCCAAAGTTGGGTATTTTTCAAACCCTTATCCCTACTATTAAGTATAGTTATTTTTCTAAACATTGAATTTATTACATTCAAAGGATGATATAGTAAAATTGTCATTTTACTTATTGTTCAATAAGGGCTATGCGACCAATACTGGACATATAAAAATAGACAAAGGGAAGTACTTATTTAAAAGCTTAACTTTTCATGTTAATAGAGAACTAATACTCCTTTTATTTTGATTTGTTTGTCTAATTTTAACTTGACAAAGGATTTAAAAAAATAAAGAAGACTTTTGAATCTTATGATCTTAAACTAAAAATATGTAGAATATATCAAGAAATGAATGAAGTGGGCCCACATTAAAAAAAAAACTACAGATATAGTCTTTTTTGTCCACAAGGAAAAAGGCACACAAATTGTAACTTTAGTACAACATCATCAAAGCATGAAACTATAAAATGGAAAGCCTTAACTGACATAAATATCCTATAATTCAATGATAATTCGAATAAGCACACATGTTGACCATGTGGTGTGTGTTTATTGCCACTTATATATTAGTAGTTGAAGTAGATAGAAGTAGAACTAGATAGATAGTAGATATATTAGTAGTGATAAAGCTAACATAAAGTTCTTTACGTGATCTATGAAGTAAAAGGACGCCTCGATAGATTTTTTCTAATGACCCAAAAATATGGGACCAACCACAGCTTTCGGAGGGGATGATGGACCCACCCCTAAGTTGCTCGGAGAGTGGGTGTGGGATTTGTGTCCAATTTGGTCAACCAATTTTGGGTACTTTGACCAAAATCGATAGGGAAAGTCCGGACAGTTTTAATGATTTTTGTAATCAATACAAAAGCTAAGGTGAAATTAAAGAGAATGGATTAACTTTTTATATAGAAATTTCTATGTCACTCCTTTTTCTTTAGTCTCATTCCAAGATTCTCCTCAAGTTCTCCTCATAATATCTCATAATTTAGGTTTTATAACTCTATTTTTTGATATTTTAATTATTGTTAGGCCAATCCCTGCACCTGTATCCATGCATGGATCCATATCCCCGAATCTTAAAAATTAGATCATGAAGGATCTACACCCGTATCGAACACCCGCACCCGAGTCCGAGCAACTTAGCCCACCCCTCTACCCTTCTCCACTTAAATACTGGACTTACTTCGCCGAAATCTCAATAAACTTTATGAAGTAACAAAAACAATATCATGGTCATATTGAGAAAAGAATACATCCTCATGTTCTCCCCTCCCAAATCCTCATAGCAATACACAATAAACATCCTTCCAAGTTCCAACAAAGATAGTAACTTGTGAATTGCTTCACATGGTAAAGAAACAGAAATAATTAAAGCCACCATCTCATCAAACATGATATTGTGTTACCAAAGCAATTACAAACCATCAAAATAGAGATTAATTAGAGACTTCGTCCCTAAATCCAAATGATGGTATAGTAGTAGATGGCGATTGTAGAGGAATTCACTCAAAAATTGCTAAAGTTAGCTCTAAGAAGGGTCAAGAGGCATAACAGCTTAAAAGCTTTCTATGTTTCTCAAATAGCCAGCAATATTTGAGCCCAACACAAAGAAGTAAACTGCAATATAATTAGTGAGGGACTCCGAGAGGAGCGGGAGAGATATATCTGAAGGTAGTAAGTACAAGCTAAAGAGAACACATTCCCAGAATTTAACTCCTTCCTTACCACAGTTGCAGCAGCGAACAATGGCGGATGAATGCAATAGTTGACGAACCAAGGAAACAGTTATGTGGTCATAATGAACTCAACGAGAGAGACTATGATTAAGTATAGATGAGTTGATACAGTAGTGAGGCAGTTCCCAAAAGGCAAAGGTGAACAGTGTAATTAAAAGCCACCAATTCAGTGCTTAAAACGATGAAGTGATGTGTAGTGATGGGTTATCGCTTCATGTGTGAAGCAATGAAGCTTCAAAACAATTACTTGCAAAGTCATCCCAACAAGAGCAATTTGTTATTGATACTCCCTTTGTCCCAATTTATGAGGCACCTTTTCCTTTTTAGTTTTGTCCCTAAAAGAATGTCATCTTTCCATAATTGAAAACAATTTAACTATAAAATTTTCTTTTTACCCTTAATAAAATGATTTATAACCACACAAATATCCAAGATTTGTTTTAGACCACAAGTTTAAGAAGTCCTCATTTTTTTCTTAACTTTGTGTCAAGTCAAACCGTACCACATAAATTGGGACAGAGGGAGTATTATTTTGTATTTTCAACAAGTTAGATGCTTCATTTTAAAGCAGCATGTTTTTTTTCTTTTAGATAAACCGAGAAATTCTCAAGGGCTTATGGGCGCATGATTCGAACTCAGTGGATAATGGGCCTCGCTATACTCCCCACTCAAATACCAGGCTTTTGTGTACAGCAAAGTTCGAACCCACTTAAAGAAGCATGCACTTTTAATTCTTGCTTTTTGCTCAAGCCCGTCAACCTTGTCGCTTTATTGCACTTTTCTCTTTTAAGAACATTGCAGAGAAGATTCTTCCATGGTTTGACTTTAGTGAAACTTAAATGAAACAACAAAAATTCACAAAATGGTCAAATTGAGATCATTTCACGTTTTGATAGCTACATAAGCACAACCAAAAGATTTGTGGCTTAGATGGAACTGCGTAGAATTTGATGGTCCTTGTGCACTTCACCTAACATTATAGAGGTAAACATTTATATTCAAATTCAACATCATCTCTATTTAATAGTATGCCATAAGCTAATGTAAATGGCATGAAAACACAGTGTACCCAGCTCCTCCAACTCATGAACTTCTTTCAGCTCATGTTCATTGAATCATTGCATCACGATTACCGTCTTTGTTCTAATCCTTGGGTAAGGTCACTCATGTTAGAGATGGAAATATGCAAATTTAAGTATCAGGACTAAAGGGACCATTTGGTTCAACCAAATCCACCAATTAATATCTTATACAGCCACTTCAAGTCCCAAAGTTTAGCTAATACCGAAAAGAGTCTCCAACACCTTAAAATGTCCTTAACAAAACCAGCTACCGTAAGAAAGTAGTAAATACGTTGAATTGTTTCACCACTGTACGATAAATTATTGTGTCAGATAAGGGTGATCAGACTATTATTTCTCAACCTCAGAAAATTTATTTGCAAATGTTGCAAACATGCATGTCCCGAATTTGGAATAGTCAAAATGATATGATGTCAACTACCAGATAATGTGCACATAAAAAAAAGTGGTGAGACCTTCAATTGAAATTTAAAAAAAAAAACATAGCACTAGAACAAACCTCACCACTGCCCTTTTTAGCTTGCAAGGTAGCAACTATGTCCAAGCATTTCTCTATATCAGGAATCTTTGCCTGGCATAGATGAAACAAGGATAAGAGACTCTCCACAAATCTGAGTAGAACAAAATGAAAGCATTACCTAGCAAAACTGAGACATTTTCGGTATGATTTTTACCAATCGTATCATAGAATCTGACTTCATTAGTGAAAGCATGCATGAAGATGTTAAACATTCGAGGGAAAACCTTTGGGACTAATCAGTATCACAACATATATCTATACAAACAGTCAATCGAATTGTAGAGGCAGGCTAACTTAGCTTATCCTTATTTCAGTGGGTTTTTATATTGGGAACGGCACCAATACGTTCACATTAGTAACATGAGGCAGTCATACTGGCAATCGGAAGCTAGCAGAAGTGGAGAAGTTTAACATTCTATAGTTCTGCAATGCATAAGCTATCTTTGAGGGTCAGGCAATTCCACTTATAGGAAATTATAGGAGAAGCCATTCATCTGTAGAGTGACGTAATTTCTGTAATCCTCATATGTTGGGGTCTAACTAGTAAATCTGAGCCCTATTCATAGCTTTGACATGAAGCAAGTAGCAACAAAATGCGAAAGGACAATCTTTACTCCTCTTGCATAAAACTTTAGTCTGAAAATTTGTAGGAAAATTGATATGATCTCGTAAGTAACATAGATTTACCATATTTTATTTTTCTTTCAATCTGATGAAAAGGCTAATCACATCATTGTCTTGATAATATTCCTGGAAATCAACAGCAAAATACGCGGAACTTAAGCATGGTTCTAAAACTTCCCATGCGCCTTCTGACAAGAATCAACCATTAAAATTCTGAAAGGTGAACACTTATCCACTTAATTTCTCTAAAAAACAGAACAATGATAGCACATTAATCCAAGGACCAATCAAATGTCGGTATCCACATCAGGACAGACTTAGTTGTGAATAGAACTAAATTTGAAAATAAGACAAGAACATGTACCTGAAGATCCCTCTGCTGAGCCAGAAGTTTCATTTCAACCACCCTATACTGCTGAAGTCTGCAATGGATGACATGAATTTATCATTAAAAAACTATATATTGAAAAGTTAAAGGAGAACATACGTAACTAACCACTTGCATATATTTTAAAGCAGGACTATTGATATGCATGGCTTTGGGGCTTATTAACTTTTAGTAGTGACAAATATTCAAATACAGCAACCCAAATTGGATAGGATTACAAATTTATGATATATGAGTTCTAGTATACAGGCCAAATCATTAAAGAACAAAAGAAACAAGAGAGTTCCAATTTTGTCCAAAAAATCCCATGTGATTTTATCATTTCAGAAATGAAGAGACTCCTACAAGGCTACAAAACTTGGAAGAACAAGAAATCAAGGCTTACGCTCTATTGATTTTAGCAAAGCGTGAGAATCCTTTTTAAAAAAACAATAGGTAGCTTTACCTGAGAATCCTTGTTAAATAGAACTAAAACTGATAGTGCATTATTATATATAGTTGAGCTAGGAGCTAGGAGCCGTGAGCTATGCTCCATATGAAGTTTTGACGACTAACAAACATGATGCAAGAACCAGATATTAAACATATCTCAAATAAGGACTGGTAGTGTTTTTTTTTTTTTTTGAAAAAGTTAACTTGTATTATGAACAAAAGGAATACTCAGAAAAGTACTCCAGTAATACTTACAACAAAATTACAGAGGGAGGGGTGTCCCTACTAAGATTCATAAATAATCTAAAATACTAGGGAATATCCTCTTCTTCTTGAGGATATTCGTGTTTACACCAAAAAAAAGAAAAGGACTAGACAGTTCATCTTCAGTTTCTGCAGAGAGCAACTCTTGTTTTCGAAACATCTCTGGCTCCTTTCCATCCATATAGTCCACCAAATGCAGGCTGGGACAATCTTCCATCTCTCCCTGTGTCCCGACTGATTCCCATCTCTATTCCAGCAAGCTAGAGCCTCTTTGATGCTCCTTGGCATAGTCCAGCTTATGCCTCTTAAATTGATGAAAATCTGCCATAACTTCACAGTCTCTCTACAATGTAGAAAGAGATGATTTATTGTCTCAATCTCACATTCACAAAAAGAGCACCTAAAGCAAAACTGACGACCTCTTTTCATAAGGTTGTCCTGGGTGAGTGTGGCCTGTTTGGCTAGTAGCCAAGTGAAACATGCAACCTTGAAGGGTACCTTGACTTTCCAGATCATTTTCCAGGGCCAGCCACTACTCTGAGAGACTGATCTTTGTGATGTCTTGTAAGCTGAACCAACTGAAAAAGGACTGGTAGTGTTTATGACAACTAACTATTGAAGAACCAGTTCCTTAACATGTCTATTGCAAAAGTTGATTACAGAAGTACACTGCAAGAAGTGAAGGAATCAGGACTGTTGATCAGGGGCAAAGCAGATTCCAAGTGTATGAAGGATTCCTTGAGGAATTGCAAGTATGGCTATTCACATGGATCAAGGAACAAGAAACTAACATGGAAATATTACCATATTTGCACGCATGGAAAGAGCTTTGGAAATAGGAGAAAACAAGTGGAAGTCGACGCGTGAATGGAAACCAAGTTTGAGAAGGATTAGGTTCTTGGATTCTTGAACCAATTCTTGCTTGATTTGGAGAAGAATACGGCCAGAGTTCCCCTCTTCATACTAATCCCTGTCTACTGTTCCATTGATTTCAAATACCCCTCTTGTGTCCAATACTCCACTACCTACTGTTACTCTCCCTCACAACAACCCTCCCTTGCTTCCTCTGCCTATCCAAAACATCATTGTCACCATGACCCTGTCTTTAATTCTTTCAAAGCCAAAATCAACTTTCCAGAAGTCAATGGTACTAACCCCAGGGGTTGGTTACGAAAATGTGAGCAGTTTTGAAATACATCAATTTCAGACCAAAATAAGATGAGCTGTGTCAGTCCATATGAAGGAGAAGGCTGACATTTGGTTTGATAGTCACATTTGGAGAAAAAAGGCACTAACTGGCCATTGTTCTCTGTGGAAGTGTGTCACAGATTTGGCAATGTTAGACCGGACTATGGCTTTGGATCCAGACTGGTTAGGATTTCAGCTCATGAAATCTTTCTTGATAGCTCTCTACTCCACCAAAATACCCCACAAAACCAAAGAGTCATAGTCCCTTACTTGGGACGTAGCCAGTCATCACAACCTAAACCTTTTGTTCCTAGACCATCAGCTCCCTTCAAACCAAACACTGTGCTGGCAAATCTGAGAGAAAGGGGACTATATAATAGATGACATAAGAAATATTTCTCAGATCATCAATGTAAGCCAAAGACAACGAATGTCACTACTTGGGAGGGCACAGAATGGCCGGAGGATCCAGTACCAATCATACAAGAGGAAGGAGAAAAGAGAAGAAAAACATGTGGGAGAAGAGGAGACGATGGAAGTTTCTGTATGTGTGGCTCTAGGCATTGATAAGTCACCGTCAACAATAACATACCCAGTTTAGTTCCATAAAATAGGAAGGGTAGAGTGTACGCATTCCTTACCCCTATCTTAGAGGTAGAGAAGGTGTTTTTGAAAAAACCCTCGGCTCCAGGAAAAAAATTTCAGAGCAGTAAAAGTAAAAAAAAATAACAGAAGTGAGGAAACCATGGCAAATACTATAGAAAATATGACAAATCATTCTGAACAGTAACTACAATAAAATAATACGATAATCAAAGTACAACAAACACTAAATAGCAATAAAATCGAAGGCCAAGAAACTACCGGAGTAATTCTACGACTAATAGTACGCAAGAATACGCAAGACAATGCCCTACTACCCACTAACCTTCCACCCTAATCCATGCCCTCCACAAATCCTATCTACGGTAATGTCCTCGGCATGCGGAAACTGTGTCATGTCTTGTCTCCCCAATACTTCTTCGACCCAGTGTTGTGAAAGGCGCGCACCCTATTGCCTTTGGTGAGAGGCAAAGCGAGGCCTTGTTGCCTCTTAGGCTATTACTAGCGAGGCGAGGCGATATCGCAAAGCCAAGAAAAGGCAAGAATAGGGGAGTGGCGACGCGGCGAGGCGATAGAGGCATCGCCATTTGTTTTTTTTTTTAAAATGACATCGATTTAAAAGTTAAAAAGGCAATATTAGGGTTTATTTGCACAAAGCCACAAACCGCGAATTTCTTCTCCAAAGTTCAGACTTCAACACTTCGCTTCAGACTTCAAGTACATCTACTATGTTGATCTTCACTCTTCTTCTTTCTCCTCTGCTTCGTGACAGTCAACACTTTGTTCTTCTTTCGCAACTCTTAACCAGTATGCCACTGTGAACAGCTTCTCATTCCTCTGTTTTTTTAAGACTCTTTTATATACTCTGTTTTCTATTTTCTGCAGTCTGCCCATTTTTTTTATAACAAAATTCTAGTCCTTCTATTTTTATTTCTGCCCAATTCAATTTAGTTATGTACTAATTCATATAGTAATTATTTACCCAGAAACAACAATTTCAATGGCATCAAATTAATATGAATTATTAAGTCATTCAAGTTCTAGACTATAGTATCTGCTATCTACTTTTAGTTTTTGAATTGAAATATTTGCTAATATGTATTTTTTTGTGTTATTTATATATGCAATTAAATATTCTAGGCTTTCGAAATTGATTGGTGCATCACTTCAAAAAGGTGAGCGCCGACCTCTCGCCTCGTGGCGAGGCGAGGCAGACCCTTGTCGCCTTTTTCCATCCAAAACACTGCTTCAGCCTACCTCTATCTCTCCCGAAACTATTCATAGTCAACCTCTTACACCTCCACATTAGGGCATTTGTACATCTCCACTTCACATGCCCAAACCATCTCAGCCTCACTATCCGCATCTTATCCTCTACAAAATCCACATTTACCTTGTCCAAATTCTAATCCTATCCTTCCTATTATTCCCACAAATCCATCACAGCATCCTCATTTCCGCAACTTTATCTTTTGTACGTGAGAGTTCTTTACTAGCCAACACTCCACCCCATACAACATAGTTGGTCTAACAATCACCCTTTAGAACTTGTCTTTTCAGTTTTGGTGACACCTTCTTATCACACAAGACTCTAGATGAGAGCCTCCATTTCATCCACAATTCATATTTTGGGATTGGCCAAGAGGGTACCCTTAGCAGGATAGATGGGGTGATTCGTGTGAGATCCAATGTAGATCCAACTTTTCAATCACTATGGAATCCGGGCAAAAGGATTTCTCGGGCGGAGAGGGGATTTGTGCATCCAACTATAAGATAAATGGCCTTGCTTGCCTTTTGTGAACTGCCAATTGCAATACATGAAAAAGGCTGACACAACCCATATTCAAGCAACTCTTATATATGCGCTATTTCAGGGGCGTTGTCAGCCACCGCTTGTTGATGAGGGAAAACATCATCAATTAAAGGGTTCTCACCATGGATTTAGTTGGAAAGGTTGGTGTTCGGCATGTCCCTTTTTTCTGGTTGAAGTTAATGTTTGTGGCACCGAAATGGGAGTTGTAGTCATGCAAGAGGGCCATCCCTTGGCCTATATTAGCCAATCACTCAGTAAAAAATATCAAGGCCTTTCTGCATATGAGAAGGAACTCATTGCATTATTGGTGGCAGTTGACAAGTGGAGACTATAAAGGTTTGAGATGTAGAAGAGGAAAGATGATTTTATTCATGAACAACATGCTCTTTATATAGAGCGGCTACAGAACTGAAAAATACTAACCCGCTAAGTTACATAGTAATCTGATAAGATACAAAGCAATAAAAATACTAAAATACAGGAAAGTATAGGAAGTCTTAAATGAATCAATGAGTAGTAGAATACAAGAACCAACAGATAGATAGAAAATAGGAATTAATAACAAACTCCTTAAACTAAAGGATAACAAATATTATTTGTTAATAGAGACACAACCTGCATCCTCACCGTTTCATTAGTAAGACTGATCATTTATTCTTAAGTTCTTGCAAGAACAAAAGACACCACTTCATTGCAGCATAAGGGACAGTCAAAATTGATGGGCTTAAGTTATGAGATTCACCACAAGAAGGGTGTTAGAAACACTATAGTTGATGCTTTATCAAGGGTACAAGATGACTCAAGTTCATGTTGTTTAATCTCTCAAATACAGCCTAAATGGAAGAAGTGTGCAGGAGTTATGAAAATGATGCAGAAGTGACTCCACTAATAGCTCAAGCAGTGATTGATCTCACTATAGTTACTGATGTTACCATGAGTCAGGGCACTAAGATACAAAGGCAGGATTTGGGAGGGAAGTCAGACTGACTTGAGACAACAACCGGTGCTTCGTATTCATTCTTCTAGACTTGGTGGTCATTCAGGGATATCAGCCACAATGCAGTCACTGGTCAAAAATGTCTTGCTGACATCAAGAAAGTGGTGCTACAGTCTGACATTTGCCAAAGATGCAAGGGTGAATAAGTGACTTGTCCAGGGTTGTTGCTACCACTTCATGTACCAGACAAAGCATCGGAGCACATCACCATGGAATTTATTGAACACCTCCCCAAGTCTGAAGGCAAGATTATATCTTTGTCATTGTGGACAGATTCAGTAAGAATACTCACTTCTTGTCTCTAGCACATCTTTTTAATGATGTTCGAATTGCTAAAATATATACGAAGAATGTGTACGAACTCCATGGTCTACCACAAAGTACAGTTAGTGAAATAGTGACAGATACAAAGTGTTTCTAAACCTTTTCTGAAAGGAACTGTTCAAGGACCTTAAGAGTGAATTGAAGTTAACTCTGCTTACCATCCCCAAACTGATGGCCAGACTGAGGGAGTAAATAAATGTCCGGAGAACTACTTGAGATGCATGTGCAGTCATAAGCCAAATGATTGGCACAAATGGCTTCCACTGAACTGAGTTTTGGTATAATTCCAACAACCATATTGCCATTAAGATGTATCCACTCAAAGTGATGTATGGCTATGATCCTCCACAATTGTCATTTGAGTAGGTGGCTCTATCCTAGGAGCTGAGGTGGACCAGTGGCTCCAAGAAAGAAAGATTATGGCTAAGGCACTCAAAGTAAGCTTAGCACAGAATGAAGTTATATGCTGATAAGAACAGGACTAAGAGAATTTGAAACTCGGGACTGCGTTTACTTGAAATTACAGGCAGATTATTGTTGCATTGAGGAGCAACCTCAAACTGACTTTACTATGGCCCTTATCTAGTGATCAGGAAGCTGTGCTGTAGCTTATGAATTGAGATTTCCCTCATCAGCAAGAATTGTATTCCATATTTCTGGTTGAAGAAAAAGACCGGTGCTCATGTGATCCCTGCTCTTGATCCTCCTTTATGCTCAGCATATGGCCAGCCTCTTGTTGAACAAGTAGCCATATTAGATAGTAGAGTTGTGCAGAAAGGAAATGCAGCAGTGTCTCAAGTGTTAGTGTAGTGGGCTAATTTGCTCACAGAGAGGGCAACTTGGGAAGATTACAACTTCCTGCTATCTGAGATTCTGAATTGGTTATCCTTGAGGAAGGATTTTAAGGGGGGTGGAATGCCATGATATGAGAATACCAGGAACCAAGTTTGAGCCCAAGAGAAGGAAAGGCTCAATACACTTTGTTGTTGGCCCAAGTAGTTTACAATAATATGTTTTAGCCCATCTGTATTTCCAGAATATGATTTTCATGTAATTGCATTAGTAGTCCTTTGTGATTTATGTTACCTAGCAAAAGCATGCCACATGTCCCCTACACATTAGCTGGACAGTGTCCTTATTAGTTGTTTGTACTGCATTTCATCATTTTTTTTATCGAATATATGAATATCAATCTTCTTCCTACATTCTCTTATTTTCTTCCTTCTCTTCTCTCTATTCTGCGGAATTACTCATGGAATGAGCTCAGTTCTAGCTCAAATCGTGACATGTAGCAAAAAACTAACTTATAATCAAGGAACCCTGAAGAAAATTAACACAAAACAAAACCAAGAAACTCATAAATTGAAGCAAAAACTCAACACTACACCCTGCCACAAAACTTGATTAACTCAAACTTTATGACACAACAAGTTATAAGTGTACCCGCAGAAAGTTCTAGGTGTTTTGAGAGCATAGAGAATAGTATGCAAACAGTTAAACTCAACTGCATTTTGTTGTTATGTTTTTGGTGCAATCAATTATACTCAAATGAAACTGCCACTATAATTGATGTTTTAGATTCAATTTAGATTTAGAACAGTGGAGTTTTGGAGTTCATCTGTATATAAGGTTTAGTACTGCCCATGTACTATTGTGTTATAATACAAAGTTACCAAGTTTCAAAAGTTGTAAGTGTACCCGCAATTACAAAATCCCTAAAGAATGGAACTCTCCCATCGTAGAGTACAACTAATGTCTAATTAAGCAAAACCTGAAGTAAACAAACAAAACAAAAACAAAGAAACTCAGATATTCATGCCAAAACTCTCCAGCACACTAAAAATTTATGTAAACGACATACATTCCCAAGCAGTCATAAGATCCCTAAAGATTGAAACTTTAACATCATATAAGATAATAACTCCTAATTAAGCAAACCCTGAACTAAACAACACCAAAGAGACCAACAGAAACCTCATAAACTAAACCTAAAATTCTACAGTACACGAGTCACTGACCTTCATTTGATATCAAGTAATAAAAACAAATAGCATTAGTTACGAAACAGATCATAGTCACACAGGGAAGAGAGAGACCTTTCTTGGAGAAAGGCAAGAGCAGAGTTGACATCGAGACCAGATTGATTGAGATAGGACTGAACATCTTCTACAAATGACGCCGCTGGTATTCCCCTTTTCTCCGTTAACCCACTTTCCGTCGCCGATGACGACTCTGCCGCCATTTCCATCGAGTTTGGTTTGCACTGATAATTAAACTCTCTTGTGGGTTTTGGCACCACTTTATTCGTTGGGAATGTTAGAACCCTGCAGGACTGAACAAGAAAGAATTTACCATGTCGTTTAGTATGGGCTGACCGACTGAAGTCGTAATGTCAAAAAATGACACACACTTCTTTTAAGTAGAGCCGTCGGGCTAGGCATGTTGGGCCGGCATGGCCTAATTCGTGATTTGATAGTATTGGATTACGATTTTTAAAATTCATTTAAGAAAAATGACTTTTTAGCTTGGTTTGAATAAGTCTGTTGATTTGTGGGCCTTGAAAAATATAGATAGGACCGATCCGTGGGTCAAATAAAAATTAATTAAAAAATAAAAATAAAATAGAAGTATTAAAAATAACAAGAGTCTAAACTCAAAATCTATTTAAAGTTTGAAATATTACAATTTAAATACAAATTATGTTTATAAAATATGTCCTACATAAAATAAAAATTCTCTAAAATTTATAGGGAATCACTACATAGGCAATAGCCTTTGGAGCATTGTTATAGTTTTTGTGTTTTACTATGATCATTAGAAAACAATTAGGTTAATATTTCTATTTAACTATGTATGTCTTTACTTGACACCAAACTTAATAAATATTATAAAGATAATTTTATTTTTGTATTTAATTAACAAGTAGTAATACTAACACCATATAATATTGTCTTGTCGATATTTATGATAATATTTTTAAATTATAATTTAATTTAAAAAATTATGAAAAAATATACTTTTAAAAAAAGAGGACTGGCCCGGCAAAGCCCGTTGCTCACGTACTTGTGGGCTGGACCGACCATTTTCTGGCCCACACAAAAAATGGGCTAGCCCGGCCTGGCCTGTCAAATTTCAAAGCTTGTATGGGTTAGCCTGAATAGAGTGGGTTAGCCCATATTGACAGCTCTACTTTTAAGTGTGCCAAACGTTAATGTTGGTAGCAAATTGAGTTGAATATGAGGATAAAAAATTATGGAAAAATTACTTGAATGAGTACCTTTTAATAAATAATTACCAATTTTAGCTATACTTTATATTTATTACCATTTATAGCCATACATAACAATATTATGTTAAATCTGCAATATGTATTAAAAGTGAATTATGTATGCAATATATATGTATTATAACTGTTTTTTAAAATATATTATGCTTGTTTGGTAAGAAATTGACACATTATATTATAAGTGTATTAAAATGTGTGATAAATGTATTATCCATCAAGAAAACTTATATTATATATGAATAATAAATTGTACTTTGTAATATGTATTAAAATTGTATTATAAATGTATTAAAAGTGATCAAGTGAAATAAAATGTTATTGCTATAAATGATAAATATTTTTTTAATATAGTATATTTATATAAGTTTCCCAAATTATTGTAAATTACTAGAATATTCAATTTAAGACTTTTATTTACATAAAATAAAAATAAATTTAAATCTACTTCTTTTTATTTACAACATTAAAATTTTAATTATAAATATGACAACTTATTAAATATGGACAATTTTACACGTTTTGTATATCTGTTTTTTTACCTTAGTAAAGTGATTTTATGGGACTCATAATTAATTATTTTTACCTTTTGGATTATCGATCACATTTAGTATAGGTATTCGTGCGATACGCAGAAAATATTAAAAAATTATTTTTAAGTGTATTTAATGTGATATCTTGTCTAACCATGTTAAATAATATTACCTTAGGAAAAAAATCCAACTATCATATTATTTTTTAGTGAAATGTAGTCCTCCACCCCTATTCCCACCCCACCCCACTCCACCCTAAATGTAATCCCCCAACCTTATCCCCATCCAGAGGTAGAGTAAAGAGTTTGGGAGTTCTTTTGAACCCACAACACTAGTGTGAAAAAAAATTTCACTGCTCTTCCTTACTACTGAGTTTGTTCATCAATTTTGTTAGGAAGTTCACAAGTTTATATATATATATATACAACACTAGTGTGAAAAACATTTTCACTGCTCTTCCTTACTACTGAGTTTGTTCATCAATTTTGTTAGGAAGTTCACAAGTTTTATATATATATATATATATATATATATATATATAATCAATTTTCTAATACAAATAGGTTTACGAAAAAACTAGTGCATTCGTCTTAATCCACGAACCCCCATCTACCTCCGCGACTCCACCCCACCCCTTCTCAATTTTCATAGCTAAATCTATATATATACACTACAACAAATATGATATATAGCTACGAAATTATTAGCTACGACATCAAATTCGTCACTAATTGTTCGCTTTTAGTGACAAAATTTACTTTTTGTGCTTAAATATATGAGACACATACTTTTAGTGACGAAACAGAAAAACAGTAGCAAAGTTTCGTCTACTAAAGTTTCCCACCAAAAAATTAATTGGCGCCATTTGTTAAGTAGTGTTAGTCACGAATTTAAAGTTATCGGTGACACAGTATTTCGTCACTAATAATGTATCTAATTCATGACAAATTATTTTTTGTCTTAAAATTTATTGATTTTTTTACCCAAAAAAATTTCATCTAAAAAAATATGTTGTTACAATATCGACAAATTAGAATTCGTAGTTAAATATTATAAGTTTTAGCTATAAGAATTTAACTTTAATTATGATATTTATTTTCGTCACTAATAGTATAAATAATTGGTGACAAAGATTTTATTGTCTCTAAACAATCTGTGATTCAGTGACAACAAAAAAATTGTTACGAAATATGTAAGGTGTTAAATAGCGACGACTTAAAATTTGTAGTGAATAATTCAACTATTTGCTACGAAAAAATTCATAGCTAAATACAATTTTTTTTGCTACAATTGTTCATAATTACAAGTGACAACTTACAAAAAGAAAAATATAAGTGCTTCATAAGAAATAGACAGAGTCCTTTCGTTAATTGGCGAGGGAAAATATTAAAACCAACGAATTCGGTCCATTTTGTAAAAATGAAAAAGTTCAATTCATGAATTTTCTTAAATTACACAATTATGCATCATTTCAAAAATACAATCCAGGTTATAAGTATCATGAGTGGGGTACGATTCTGCCACTAGATCACTAATATTTGTTGGTTTAACACTTTTGTTTTTTATTTGATACACTTTCATCGATAAAGACGATAGAAAAAATAATTTCTCAAGTCTTGGTGCTAATTTTTGTGCGTGTCTATTGATTTGTGATTGGTAAACTGCATATTACGCCTTCTATCATTGAGTATAGTGGGGTCCATTTAATTTTACAATTAACACCTATACAATGATAACTTTATTGAGTTTCTATATATTTCCATTTTTATTCTCTACATATATAGTTAAATAATTTAATAAAATTTTATTACTTAGCTTTTATATTCAAAACAAATTATTTTTTAATATTATATATATCATTAAATAACTATATAAGATTATTAATAGTCATATTTATATTTTTAAAGTATAATTAACAAAATTATTATTTTAAATAAACTCCTAATAAATAATTTATTAAGAAAAACGTCAAATTAATTTAAATTATTTCTTTTTATTATACTTTACTTTACTTTACTTTTACTTACTTATATAGAACAGACATCAAGATGACTGATTTTTGCCATCTTTATAAAAGAATAAGGGTCTTTTGGTCATTTACACTACCAAACTCATCAATAAAGGCTGCATACTGATACGCTCAAATTACACCTCCTTTCAGAAGCATATGCAATCGTTATCAAGTAAAGAACCCAACTTGTAGGTTGGGATCGATCCGACGAGGAAAATGGTTTAGACTTTACTTTTAACCAACAATTATATTCGATTAGTCAAATGATTTCCAGAAACAGGTAATAAAAAAGGGGGGTTGTGCTTGTGTGAAACAAATAGTAAGACTTAATATTGTAATCAATAATTAAATTCAACTTTGGTTGTTATCAAGATAAGAGAAATAACTAGGGTACACGTGTTCCCCATAATCTCATAACGCAGTAATCCTAGTAATAGCAATCCTTTTCTAGTGTATTACATGCAAAGTGATAAGTTAGGTATCTCTAAATCCTTGGTCCGGCATCTAGAGAATTTCACCCCGCACCTTGGTCCGGCTACGTGTGTATAATTTACTGACCCTTACCTTTACCTCATATTAGACATCATAATCGATGTTTGGCTTAGTTATTACTTCGCACCAATCGACACTAGCCTATTAGATAATATCACACTAAATCTATGTTGATAATTCTTTTCTTGTTAATTACCTCCTTGGTCCGGCAAGTAGTAACAAGGCGAGTTCTAACGTTGGCCACTGTTAAAAAGACTTCTAAACGAAAGAATTATCAATACATGCAAAATACTAGTCAAGAATTGCTTATTTACTATTCATACTTTGTTAATTGATCATGGTTCCCACAACCCTAGTTGTGAATTTAGTTACTCATATTAGCAAGAACACAATTCATAATTGTAGATGGAGAAATCATGAACTTACGTAAAGAGAATAATAAACCCAGAAAATTAACTTGAATTGCAAAGCCAAAATCTTCAAAACGAACTTGGGAAATCAATAATTGCTAGGGTTGCAAATTAATCTCCAAAGTTACAAATCAAAAATAGAATAATAGTGTCTAACCCCCAAAAACGAGGTTTACATGTCCTATTTATAGAAAACAAATCCTAAATAAAAAAGGAAACAAATTAAGGAAAGTTTTGTTCAGGTCCGCGTCTTCGATCCACGAGACTGACTTACGGACCGTCGATGGATCTACGGTCCGTAAGTCCCTTCCGTCACTCGGGACTTAGAAAATATTTCAGCATCCAACAATCAGCTTCTCTGAAGCAAACGACGGACCAGCAACACGGACCGTAGATCGACCTACGGTCCGTCAATCCCTTCCGTAGCTCTATACTTAGCATCTTCAAAAATCAGGTACTGGAACCCTCGCAGTCTCACTCTACGGATCAACAGTACGGTCCGTAGATCAATCTACGGACTGTCAATGGGCACCGTGGTTCCACACTTGGTCAGATTTCCCTGATTTGTCCTCAGCACATTCCTGCTGATCTACGGTCATCACCTATGGACCGTGAATGGACCTACGGTCCGTAGAT